GAGCTTGCTTTTCCAATCGGTGTTGGCACCTGGATGAATCCTCGAGCATTTCTTTGTATTTCTTGAGTTCTTTTTGCATCTGGAGGTTCTGCTCTTCAATATGATCAAGAGATTGAACCCTCCTCAACAAAGAAGCTGTGTTCTCGTTTTCTTTAGCTAATTCAGCATTTGCAGTGTCCAACGCATCATAAACTTCTCGTAGTTTCTTCTTTAAGTCAGTTTCCACATCCAAAGCTTTCTTTTCTATGAGAAGCTGCTTACTCGATGATTGCTTAACCATTTCCTTATACCTCTCAAGCTCTTTCTGCATCAGGAGCCGTTGCTCTTCAACCAGTTTTAAGTGATCAACCCTACGAGAAAAACATTCCACCTTCTCATGATGTTGCGCCAATTCAGAACTGGTCTTGTCGAAAGCATCACAAACTTCTCTGAATTTCTCTTTCGAATCGTTTTCAATCTGCAAAGCTTGCTTTTCTAGGCAACGTTGACGCCTCGATGACTGCTCAAGCGCTTCCTTGTACTTCTCCAACTCTTTCTGCATCAAGAGACACTTCTCTTCTATAAGATCCAAGGCCTTGGCTTTCCTTGACAAAGATACTAACTTCTGACGTTCTTTGGCTAATTCTGAGTTTGCCACGTCCAAGTCATCACAAACTGCCTTAAGTTTATCTTTCAAGTCAGTTTCTGTCTGCAAAGCTTGCTTCTTGAAGCAAAGTTGACTTCTGGACGATTCCTCAAGCAATTCTTTGTATCTCTCAAGCTCTTTCTGCAACAGTAGTCGTTGGTCTTCAACAAGATCCAGGTCCTCAATTCTCTTCAATAAAGATGCAACCTTTTGACGTTCATCCTCGAAATCTGTCATCACTTTTACCAGAGCAGTGTTCTTTGTCTCCAGCTGCCTCATCAAAAGAGAGACATTTTCTTCCCTTTCGTTGTCACGAAGTCTTGCCTCAGTATCAGCATTCTCAAAGTTCAGCTGAGCCTCAGTTATACCTGATTTCAACACCAGTAGCATTGTCGAAGCCTCCTCATTCTGCATCTTCAACTGCAATATCACGGAGTGACAAATTTCCAATTCTATCCCAAGTTCTTCTACTGTTGCTTCTTTGCTCTCTAGTGCAGTCCTGTAATTATCCAGCTCTTCAGTCAATTTCTCCAGTCGAAAGCTCCATTCAGCTTCTTTAGCTCTAAGATTTGAAGAACAATTTCTGTGCATCTGCTCCAAACTCTTGAGTTTGTTTCTCATTTTTGCCAAAGAAGAAGAATTTCCCGTTTCCCGAATCCCAGCCTCCTGAAGTTCTTTAAGGGACACCAGCAACTCCTGATTTTCTTTCTCTAGCCTCCCCGCTTTGTACTCGATTTCTTTGTAAAATGTCTCCTTTGTAGCCAAAGAATGTCTCAGAGCTGCAATTTCTCTGTCCCTCTGAGTGGCCAAGCATTCTAGTTGTGACTTTGCATCCTGACACTCGGTGAAAACATTCTCAAAGCGTGCTTTAAATTCAGAAACCTCAACTTCCAGATGATTTCTCCTGCTTTCTTCACGAGCTAAGGCTTCATTGCACATCTTGAACCGTCTTTCAAGATCTTCTAAGATTCTGGTCTGAGAATCTAAGCGTGACTGCAGTGAGCAAATTTCGTCAATCAATGTGGACTTCTCCATCTCCCACCCTTTCTTGCTTTCCCTGAACTGATCTCGGAGCTTTTCATGTGCTTCTTCTAGATGGCTGAACTGTTCTTTCTTCCATTTTAGCTGATTTTCTACCTTCATGCTCTCCTCCTCTAACTTGAGTAGCATAGCATCCCTTTTCCTCATCTCTTTGGATGCTTTGGCATTTTTCTCTGCTTCCAAGCATTTCTTCTGAGAAGCCGATAGAAGCCCCTTGAGACCTTCAATTTCTGCCATAAACACATTAATCTTTTGCTCTTGATCTATGTTCTTCTCATTTGCCTCATCTAGTGCCAATACTATCGCCCTTTTCTCCTCCTCCCATTTTTTATACTTCTCACCGCAATCAACTCTAAGCTTATCATTTGCAGTGCTTAGACGTCTGATAACGGACTCTTTTTCATTCAAACTGCATTGCAAATCTTCACACATCCGCTTCACCTTGGAGATCTCCTCTTCCTTTCCATTTGATTCTCGTGCCAGTTTCTCAATCTTGGAACATGCTTCTTGAGTTCGGATAAGCTGTTCACCATGAGCTTTCCTCAGGTTGTCAGCCAATTCAGCTTTGAGTTTCAAATCTGCTTTGAGCTTCTCAATCTCAGCTTTCGCTTCATCAAACTCTTCACCCATTTCCTCTCAAGTTTAAAAGAAACGAATCTCACCTGCTCACAAGCAAAAATCTTTCAGATGACAAATTGAACTTGATTTAAGAGCAATTATGTCAATGGAGAACACATTACCACAAATACATATGCATTGAAGATCACATTGTGGATATGTCAAGAGGTTCAAATCCAACTAACCAAATCAAATACTGTGCAACAGCATAATAATTCCTATGGTGCTATTTTTTTCTTCCCAAAAGAGCATTGCATCCCTCTTCCAGGTCTAATTAAGAACAGATGGACAGCATAAAACACCACTATTAAAAAGTGATTATAATCCTTAAGACCACAAACCCTATTTACTGTCCCTTTTGTATTATGAAGAACCTTCATGTCAACGAGCAAGGCCAATCGTTAGTTTCCAGATCATAAGAAATCAAATAAAACCCAAAATAACCAAAGATTTGGATACCAATTTTAATAAGATTTTCCATGTTTTTTCTCCCAAGATTAAACAAAGACTAAAAATTATTATTATCATTAAAATCTAAAAAGTCTATTTCTTTTCCGTTTTTGCACCCAATAATAGACCAAAATATGTATCTTATTGTCAAAAACATGGAAATCCAAAAGAAAAGGCCTTTAGATCTCATTTTCTGTCTAGATTTCACATTGGCTGACTTAAGTCACTGTGTAGTCTTGTTAAGAACCCAGCATTCAAATAAATAAATCAATAAAGTCCCTGGCAAAATATAGAGAGGCCCAGAAAGAAAGAAAGAAACAAAGGGCTAACTTAAAATGACTTGTAACGACAAAAAACATGTGAAAGCTAAAGACTTAAGAGATTAAGAAACCTCACTGCTTGATGATTCTTTTAACACTTGAACAAGCAAGAATAAGAGCGACGACCCACCAAAAAAAACATACCTGGTCGTCGTCGTCGCCGTTGTTATGGGTTTTGGTTTATTGTTGTTAGAGATTTATCCATGTAAGAAAGAGAGTTTGTTGTGACTTTGTTGGGTTGTAGAGAGAAAGATTGAGATTAGAAGATGAAAGCAAATAGAGAAAGTGCAAGGGATAGCCGTTGAGAGGGAGGGGTATTTGATTTGAAATCGAAATCGAATAACCACGGCGTCAGGGTTTCGATTTTAACGGTGTGAGAGGTTCGTCGGCCTGGTAACTTGGGCCTACTATATTGGTTTGGGCTTGGCTTCGGAGGTTTATTTGCTTGGAATTTCTTTCATAATTTTTATAGGGGGACACAGTGGTAAATCAATAAATTATTTTCAGCGATATTAAAATTATTTATAAAATAAAGTTAATTTTTAAAATAGTGAAAAAATTAATTATATTTATTTATATTATTTAAAATTAATTAAAAATTATTTTAAGTTTTCCAGAAATAAACTACAAAACAATAAATTATTTTCAGAGATATTAAAATTATTTCCAAAATCGAATGAACTTTTAAAATAGATAAAGAAAATTATTTATATTTATTGATATTATTTAAAATGAATTAAATATTATTTATTGAAATATGCAGCATTCAATCATTTTTCACAAAACAAATTTACAAATTCAACCTATTTCCAGGTCTAAGTCACGTTTGATTGTTGTTTAGGGATTGAAAACAAAATAATACATAAAAATATATTTTCTTATATTTTTTTTATTTTAATAACATATAAATTCATTTTAAAACTATTTTCAAAATAAATTTATTTTATTTTTAAAAACTTAATTATTAATTTATATCAAGTGGGATATTTCAAGAACCATCTCCATGCCCTCTTACTTGGTATTTGTGGGGTGTTTAAAAATACAGTAATTTTTATTTTTTAAAGTATGTTTTACTCATAAATATATTAGGATATTTTTTTATTTTTTAAAAATAATTTTTGATATGGTATGATTCAAAAACATAAAATAAAAAAATTAATTTTAAGAAAAAATTCAAAATTTTCCCAAATGTTTGTCTAGTATATAAGGTAACATCCTCTATTTCTAATTGCATATTCTTTATATATATATATATATATATATATATATATTATTTTGATATGTTAATTTAAAAAAAAGTAGATAAATATATTTTCAAGTAAAATATTTTTTTAAAAAAAACCATTATTATAATACCAAATAATAACATATTAATTAGATTAACAAAACAAATTAGTCACTAAATAACGCAACCCTCTTCTCTTCCTCTCTTAAATCAAAGAAGTCTGGATTGATATTTTAAAGCAATGATTTTTCCAAGTTCAAATGCAAAACAATAAAGCAATTATCTTCATTTGAAAATACAAAAGAATTATAGTTAGAACTGATACGATCGAATTAATAATCAAAAGATACAGTATTATGAGCTAATGAAACAGAATTTTTATTGTTATCTGTAACTTCTTGGTGAATCTTGAATTTATATCTATGTTAATGAACACGGCATCTCACATACTATTACCAGTCGAAGTTGATTTTGCAGCTACAAAAACTTCCTGATTTACAAATAAGGCTATCGACAGCACAACCATCCACAGCAAAATGGGAAGAAAGCATTATGTGAATAACAGGACCTTGCCACGGCATTTTCAAAGCCAGCCCAATCAGAAGTTCAGAGATGTTGCAAATTAGCAGAAGTGTTGCCATCTTCTAGCTATTTTCCAACAAAAAAATCAACTGCTGGTGGGAAACCCTTCTTGTCCTGAATTCTAGCTTCAAGATTGGCTATCTAAGCTGTTGGAGTATCAAAATGCTTGTTTCTACAGAGCTGTCTTCGCAAATTTGTGCATCCCAGTTTAGAAGCAGGGCGCATTCCAAAGAGCTCTTGAATACAGAAGTTCAAAAAGAGTGAGGCTATCTAAAAGCTATTTGCCAGAAAAGTAGTTTATGTGCAACTGCCAGTTTTTGTGTGATTCCGTCGATCCATGCCTCTGGCGTCGGTACATGTCTTCCTCAGGTAGATGCAACATTCCTCTCAAACATTACCAAGGTTGCTTTGAAAGTTTTTCTTGTCATCGATACCATGGACAAACCCCCTTTGTAGACCAAATTCAACATGAAAGTAAGGGAAGTCCTTTGGGATTGAACCACGAAATCCTTTCTCACTTGTATCAGTGAGCTTCTTTGTGTTGTGTTGACTCCACTCATCTTCAGCTTCATGAATTGCCTGAAATGAACTTCAGTAACTAGTGCAAGTATTTGTTAGGAATGGACAAGTGAACATGGAAAGGAGTGCGCAAGTCAAGTATTTGTCCTCGTATACAAGCAACATCTACATATGTGAATGGCTGGTGCTGACATTGTTCCTAGAAAGAAAGCTACTGGGTTATATCAGAAACATGCACAAAATCTTGCATGGATATAAGTTACTTTTCATTGTGGTTTCTCCCTGCTGTTATATATTCATCACTTTGACCCCATTTACTTTCAACAATTTGCTAAATATTAGAGAACATAATTGTTACAGTGCACTGGCAATCCTTTCATGTTAACTTTATGTTTTTTCTCTCTCTGTGTTCCTGATGACAACTCTTTTTTTAAGCAAAGGTAGAAAAAGATTAACGATATTTTTCAAAGTGCATTCAATCAATAGTGACTAACAGATCAGCTCTTCTCTCTTTGGAGATAACCCGGTAAAATCTAGAAAACTAACTGAAAACTAAAAAAGGGAGGCAAAAATTGATTCATCAAAAACAGGAAATTAATAAGAAAAAGCTAACCTTCTTAAATAGAGAGGGGGTTGCTTAGCAATTTCTCGAGGCAAAGGAATACACTCGATGAAACAATGGCGCCTTTGTTTTGACAAGCTGATCACTGTTTCAAGAAACACTAAATCCTTCTCTTGCTTGGAGAACATCATTATAAGGCATTTCTTGAAATTGCGAATTTCTTCCCACACATTATTGTCAACATTCCTTGCGGCTGAGTCATGCTGTAAAGACAAAAACCAGGTGAAGAGCAGAAATAACAGAAGGTTCGCCTATGGCATTCCTAGAAATAAAATCCTTTATCGTTTACGTCACGATGTGGATGACTTTATTTTGCTTCCTAAATCATCGAAACAATTCTTGTTTCATGTTCTCGAGAATCTTGGGGCCATCTATTAGAACAAATCCAAGACAAATGACAAGTAGTAATTCAAATACAAGCGGATAATTTCAAATAGAGACAGCTTTTCAAATTGTTAACTATAATTATGAGACAGATCAATGCTCCCAAATGCAATCTATTAGAACAAATCCAAGACAAATGACAAGTTGTAATTCCAAGGGTGAAAAATACAAATCATACAACTGGTAACTGAGCCTAGTCTATTCCAAGCAAGTAGACTAAGCTTACCTGCATTGGCAAGATGCAGCTGTGACCAGGCACAACAGGCTGCCACCGAGGCAACATCAAATATGTGAAGTTTGCTATCGACACAACAAGATGTTTTGGCCGGTTGGATTCTCAAAGGTAAAATGACAGCGTTCTTGCTGCGTCAAAATGCACTTTGCGAGATAATTTGTCTCAGAGACCTTTTGATCACTGTCTCTGCCCTTCTTATGGGACTTACTCCTTGGGCCATCTTCAAAATCATATTCATCGTCAGCCTAACCATTGAGCAAGATGCCTATCAGCATCTTCATCCTCCTTTCTTCTCGCAGAAACACCTTGAATAGCATATCTGAAAAGAACAATACGAGAGAAATTATTATAAAAGTGATGAGCATAAATTGCAAATTTTCGAAAATAAGAATAAGAACAAGAACAAGAACAAAAACAATGGCATGTGGAGTTGCTGAATCAAGTTGAGCAAACATAAGTATTTGATAGAAGCTCAAAGAACATACATAATTAATAGGAAAATCACGTGTTAAGTTACCTGTTTGTGCCAGAGACTATTTGAGGTCTGTTAGAATTTTCTCCGGCACCCCTGCTTCGCCTTGATGTTCTCAGCCTCTTGCTGATAAAACAAAGCAAATGAAACCAGCTAATCGCCAATAAAAAGTTCGTGCATTTACAATTTGACTCAGAAAATATAAAGAATCCATCAAAACATGATTGTTTTTCCATGCAAGACCTCGAAAGTAGCTTGCATCCAAATTCTTAACAAATATCTGGAAAGTGGCGATGAACCTCGGAGACTGTTGTTACCGACACAGCTATCATAGTATGCCAAGATTAGAGAAGTGCAAAGTTTTTATACAACTATCTTCAAAATTATAAAAGCCTTTTTGATTGACTCAGGTCCTGCTGACAGTGAAGTGACTCGAAAAGGAGTACTTAATAGCAACACTTTTACTCAACTGATCTTGATCTTACCCTGAATTCTTATCCCATTTCTAAGGAAATGACTAACACTTAGAGCTCGGATTAGGACCGGGGAAATAACAACGCCATTGCAACGCTCTTAGCTTTTGTCCTACAACATCGTGTAATAATCCATCCATCAATTTACTGAACGTGTTTTCCTCGCATTGTTTTTCATGCTCCAAAGAAATATATAAAATTAACTAAAATTTCACCCAAGAACGAGAGAATCCCATTCCCTCCCGAAGCTTGATTCTTTATTAGAGTATGGGTGAAACAAAAGTCAGTAGAAGTGGAAACATTATAAGTTTCTCAGCTTCTTCATGCTTTCCTTACATGCAAAGCTGCAAAGCCTTGATGCCACCTGGTTTTAACTTAGTGTCTCCTCAACCAACATACTACTCCACATTCTCCTCTTGGTTTGAATAGGAACCAACAGAACCACCGGCATTCTCTTTCTGCTTAACGAGAATTTTGCTCACAAAATCTTTAAAAAATATTTAATTTTATAAAAACTTTTAAAAAATACTTTTTAAATGTAAAATACAAACTCTAACTCGAGGGTCTATAGTTCCATCATATACTGATCTTCCACATTTCGGACTGCTATTTAACATCAAAGGAGAAACCAACTGTTTTTATGCTATTGTAATTTCCAATCTAATTGCTCCACTATTGACATCCAAATTCTACAAAAAGAATCAATCTTGTTTGAACAAAGAATTTCAAATGGAAGAAGAATAAACATCAATACACCTAACAGGCTACCAACGCACAAGTTAATACATTTAAGGGATTTTTAAACGTGAATCCATTGAGCCCCGACTGAAATTTCTGGCTTAATTTACTATCTGTTTTCAGCTCCATTAATCTATCTGCTGAATTTGCAATTTGGTCTCCATGTGTGAACGCAATTTGGCAGCTTTCGTGCACTTCCCCACGATTCTCTCAAAATGTGAATACCACCACCAAATGACTTGAAGGGTAATTTACACTCCCATGATATCAGCAACCTGGAAAACACAAGTGAAGGATTTCCTTAATTTCTACATTAATCTGAAGTTCACAGAATAACGTTAATTTGTGTATGTTTGTATAAATTCTAAATGGAAAAACCACAAATTAATTATAGATAGGGCCTTAGCTTACCTCTTTCAGATTAACCCTCGTCATCTGAACTGGAAGTAGAATCTCCCATTCGTCGCTCTGCAATTGCTGGAAATAGCCGCTGGCGAATATCAGGTGAGGGTTGCTGGTGCTTATGAGATGGAGATGATGCAGTTGATGCCTCTTTTTTCCGTGTTTTTGCTGACCTCTTTTGTGCCTCTCCCACCTCTTTGCATACCTTATCTAATATTATTAAGAAGTCTCGTACAATGATGAATAATCGTAAACCCTCATCTTTCCCAGCATTCCCATGGAAATAATCACCAGTGCTCTTCACCAGAGCCGCAATTCTTTTTTCTTCTTCCAGAAGTGACATGATATCAACCTCAGCATTCTGCACAAAACTTTTTAATGTTTCATGGAATCCACTATTTTCCTCTAAATTCTTCATGTCTTTATTCAGGAAATTTCTGGTTACTACCACGGACTGCCCAAGTTTAGCCACGGATCCTGTTAAGCTGTCAGCATCCACAACCGCTGCTCTTTTGACATTTTCTAGTTCACTGCTCAATTGAGAAACAACCTGAAGACCAAGACTGCTATAGTTGTCTTCTGTATCAGGGGAAATGTCCTCAAGGAGATCGTCTGTTTTTACACTGACACTGGAGATGCTCCGGCTCTCTCGTCCAGCACGAGCAGCTCTCACACCTTCTGAGCGAATTATCTCCTGAACAACAAAGTGTAAGAGAGTAGTCTTCCCATCTATTCCCTTTACATCAGCTAATTTCAAAAGTGTGTCAAGCTTGAATGCTTGTGCACCGCCACGAAATGTTCCATCATTCATTCGGTTGCCTGTTTTAAGAACAGCTTCCAGAAGCTTGAGGAACAACCGACTATTTCTGAGTTCCTTGCAAGCAACCTGCCATATTAGATGGAGATGGCATCACATTGGATTTTGGCAAGTGGAGAAATTCAAGAAATTGCCAGAAAAGAGAGTCCATAATGAGATGCTGGGACTTTATCATAACCAATAGAAACTGACCACCTCTACATGCTAGTATATTCAAATTTTACAAATGTAGGAATATTTTTATAAAGCCAGGCATCTTATATGCAAGAACATGCATGCGTTCTAAAAGCCAAACTTAGGTCAGTATTCTACAAATGCTATCTTTTCTATCATATCCTACCCATCCTCTGATGTCTAATAAGTGGCTGGTCTCTTTCGCTCTATGCATTAGCAGGGATGCATGCACTTTCCAAGTCACATATGAAGGGAAACCAATTCAAGGCACCAAACTGATATCAATATGTATTTTTATTTTTTTTGCAAAAAATACTGTTGTGGCTCTCCACAAAAGATTTCTTAGTAATATTTTAATGATTTTTTAAAATACATCTCCACAATTTGGCATGCCTTTCCAAAATCATACGGTCTACTTCCCCATACGTAGAAAAAGCGCAACTATCAAGTTCATCATCAGACCATGAGCATGGATATTTCCAACGCATTGTTAAAAATGACAACCAACATTTACAAGCAAGAATTAAACCAAGCGTTGAAAAGAAATACAGTATCCAGTTTCCTACCTCTAAGGTTTCAAAAGACTCTTTAGTGGTAGCAACCTCTTCCTGTAGAATGCACATGAAAAGCAGGGCTTCCATTCGTTTAAAAGCAAACGGTATGTCAACCAATGCTTTTAGGAACCTCTCAGCAGGCCCAAGTTGAGAAAGTTCACCACTGTAGAGCCTAAGCTTCAGTTCTTCATCTGCTGTGGGTGCCATCCTCAACAAATTTTGAAGAAGCTCTACAGGAAGCTCGTTTCCTGCATTAACTAACAGATGTTAGAATATGTTGATGCATTAAAACCAAAGGACACTATTGCTACTCAAATTCCACAACCAATGAAATGGGGTAATTACATACCATCCACAAAGCCACACCATCATTAAAATCAGCCATACTAGACAGAAATGGTGTGTAAAAATATTTTACTAGACAAGGAACAGGACAAACAAAACCACCACAAAACCCCCGCCCCCCAACACCTCCCAAACAAGAAAAAAACAAATAAATAAATTGAAATTATTGGGAAATGGAGCAATTCAACTTATCCATGAATGCATATCTACTGAAAGAAACAAAGAGAGTTGATCACCTTCACGAAGTGCATCACAGACTTCCTCTATTGTCACATTCAGTGCCCGCAAAAGAATAGACAAATTTTGTGCCTTTTTCGGATCAAGTATTTGAATATACTGGGGTGAAGGATCTTGAGAAGAAGACTCTTTCTTGTGTTCATTTTTGTTTTTATCAGGTGCATATCCAAACAGGGTTTCTATCATTTCCTCATTGAACCTGTATAAACATATTCAGCAGCAAAGGTTATTTAGAGATTCATGAACAACAAAATTAAAATAACAATTAAAATTAAAATTGTAACTCACTGGAACGATCCTGATTTAATCTGATGCCAAACCATTGAATGATCAGGGTTGGCTAGAACTTTATCCCAGAAAAATGGCTTTAGTTTGGTTTTAGGAGCATCAGCATCATCCCCCAAACCAGCTCCTTCACTAGATGCGCTATTGGAAGGATGCTTTGATCCAAGAGGGGGTCGAGGAGCCTTTGGACCTGGGGGCATTGGTGGTGGTGGTCGAGGAGCAGAACCTCCAGTTGGAGGTGGTGGAGGGCGTGGACCAGGTTTCACTCCAGGAGCAATAGGTGGTGGAGGAGGTGAACCGCGGGGAGGAGGGGGCACACTACTGGATGATTTCGCAGGGGCAGGTGGTGCAGGAGGGGGAGGGGGAGGGGGAGGAGTAGGGCCAGCCCTACTGGGAGGTGGCCTGAGATTAGCAGGCGGTTCATGGGGAAGCGGTTCTGCCCTTCCAGGAGGAGGCTTCAGAAAAGGGTTGTTGCCTGTCCTTCCTGGTGGAGGTGGTACAAGTATGTTCATCTTGTTGTCAGTAGAGAATTTGGCAGCGCCACTAACAACTCCTAACGACAGACTTTCATCTACCGATACATTCTGAGCATCAGAGTTATAAAAATTGCTCTCCAAAGGTGATCCCCTTTTCTCATGGTTTGATATATTACCAAAAGATTGATGGCCAAGCTTTTCTTCTTTGATAGAATTTCCTAAACCAAAAGTTTTGTGTGTGGAACCTGGAAGATCAATTTTTGAAGCAATATCAGGACTGCATTAAAGAATTGTAGATTAAAAGAAAACATATGACAGTTCATTTACTAACCAACAGAATAGTCACTTAAGCTTATGCTAAGAAGGGGCCTTTCATCATTTCGTCCCGCACCAGATCCTCTCCTACAAACTGTAGTGCAGAACAAGAAGAACAATGCTGCAAGAACAAATGTCACTGCAGCAGTTACAAGGACTGCAATGAGAACTGTTTTATTGTTATTTTTTCCATTAGCTGGCTCAATATTTGGACCAGAAGTTGGACCTCCAGAAGAGTTTTCGCTGAGACTGAGAGGAGGTGGTGATACTTGAGGAAAAAATAGCTCCCGCGGTGAAGGAGCAGGGTTTGGGGTGGAAACTGGAGAAAGAGCCAGATCTGTAGCTGGTGCAGGGCTAGGAATCAGGGATCCAACAGCAGGTGCTGGGGCTGGAACCTCTGCAATGCTCTGAAGTAAATTCCTTCTTGCACCAGCATGCCTATGAAATAATGAATTTAGAAAAGTCGAGTGATAAATATCTGCGCCACCTTCATCTCCAGAAACATGGAACAGAAAACTGTTTTTTCTTATACAATCTAAAAGAGTTTCCTTTAACTGGGGATGCAGGGATTTAATCAATCTCTGACTGTTTTCTTTTGCCACTGACCAGCCCTTTGAGCTAAGTTCATCGGCCCCACTAAATGTTTCCTCTGGTAAAAAGAAGTTAGGATTTCTACCAGCTTCCTTCAGGCGAATCAAATCTACCTTGCAAATGATGCATAGTAGCTCTGCCTGCAATCCAAAACAAATTCAAGTAAATATTTACCCATTTGAGAAGATTATACTGGTATTTCAGATGCACATTAAGAAGCAGATATATATGAATATGAATTAAGAACAAGCAGCAGACATGTGAGGTTGCATCTCTCTCTCTCTCTCTCTCTCACACACACACACATATTAAGAAAAAGAAAATAAGTATGCAAAAGAACATAAGCAAATGAAGGCTATGCCATATTTGCAGGGGGGGGGGGAGCAAGAACGAGAGAAGACAGCATAATCAGTACAAAGGAAGAACTTAGAAGAGCATATCCCTACTTAGGCATAGACATAGGCATATGCAAAATGGATATAATCATGGATGCAATGGTGCATAATACACCTAATGTCAAAGTTTATTGTGGTATTATGATCCTTATCATTGATCAATTTTTATCTTCAACAATGACTAGTTTTCAGATAAAAAAATTATTGTTGCTTTTTATATGACAAAAGAATTAAATAATCACAACAGTTCCATCTGATCCTCCCCTCC